CCAGTCTACCAAATAGGCCTTAAGAGATCCACTTCGAGGCATTTGCACCCACCCCTTCAAGTTTTGGTTTCAAGCGGCCTGTAGCCGTCCTCAAGCACGTGTTGAGACGCTCAACGCCAGCCAATCGTTTGTAGGAACAAGCCACGGATGAGGCCTGGGTTGAAGCAGTGGGCCAACCCCATCCTCCTTTTTCACTTTCCAGAGCGACCGTGTTTAAAGTTAGAGAAGCTGCAAGGAAGGGCTTCCTGCGCGACATGTTCAATAGATCCTGAAAGAAAGAGTAACCAGTGTGGAGTCACCTAGGTGAATCTCTTTGAAAGCCCTTGCCAGTCCTTTCTGAGTGGATTTCACGTGGCGTTTTTGTCCATCACCAAAAAACGGTTTGTTTGAGGTTGGGGAACAAGGTGATGTTGGGGCTTGAAACTCGCTTTTGAGACCCTGAAGAAGCTATAGTCGGGGTGTGGTACGGGGACCCCTGGGTCCTCCATACCAAATACCAAGCCTCAGGGTGAACTGCCAAATACACCAAACTTAACGGTTGGAGGAGGGATCTTTCTGTGTATGTGTCTGTTGGTGTGCGCCTGCAACAGTGGATGTATCATGGTTGCTTGTAGACGAGGAAAACAAAAAGGGACAAGATCTTGGATACTCCAGCCAATGGGCGCAAATTGTTTTGGCTGGGAATTCGCTGGGGTCGACTAGAGTGTGTGTGTGTTGAGAATGTTTTTTTTTAGTGCGTGTTGTTTCAAGGTTCCCGTCCTCGAGTCGCCAAGTCTTCGATTCAATTTCTACGCGTCACCTATTCGCCCCTCGACACCGTTGGGGGGACCGAGCCTATGCTTTCTTGGAGCTATTTCAAGAATTGGGAAGGTTCAACATTCGGTTGGGGGGGTCCTCTTCGTCGTCGTCGTCCTCCTGACGAAAGAGCGTTGGTTCCTCAGACGGTGGCTGGGGCTGGCTTTGAAGGAACCGACGCTTTTAATGGCTGAACAGGTGGTGGGGTTGGCGCTGCACGCACATTCAAGCTACGCTTTCCGCAAACCCCAACCGTTGCTTTTGAATGGGTTTTACCGAATCGATCTCCTGAAACGGCCTCCCCCCTTCTTCTCCATGCAGCCCGGCCGATTGGCATCTCCGGAGTTCCCTCCACTTCTGCCACACACCTGGCGAGATGTGGTCATTGGGCCGCAAACGTGGATTGCGGCATTCCTTTGATTAAACTTTGAGCCAATGACATGGGGTCTAACTCCAACACGGTCATCCCTATGGTCAATCCCACGCTATTTCGATTCCTTCCCTGAGCCAAAGGTCAAGCCTATGACCAGCCATGGACACTTGAGTTGCCAGCCCAAATCAGACCAACATCGGAATGTGCGACTCAGTGGTTGCCAAGATATCAAGAATAACAACCTGTAGTGAAGAACGAAAGTCGTTCAGTCCCGAGCTTGGACCAGGTCCTCATGAAAAAGACACATACGAATCAGACCCCCCCCCCAGGATTGAAAGAAACAATCCTGAAGCCGGCCTAGCCCCCAACTTTGCTAAAGCAAGGAGAACCTAATGCTCTTTCGCATAGCCAGCTTTCGCCACAAAGGAATCTTGACCAGTCACCCAACGTTGTCCGGGCTGAGGGCAGGGCTCGGGCACTCATCCACCTCCACGAAGGTCTTTCTCACAATAAGCTCCTGCGGAAGGCGATGGAACAGGTAGGATCAATCCATGACACGCGACTTTCGGTGAGAAGCCATGGCAAGTGTGGTCAGTCCCAACGCCATCCCTTCAGGTGTTACTGCCACCTGCGACTTCAGAAGCTGATTGCTTCGCTTTGGTCCCAATTTTCAGGTTGGAAGCAAAACCATTTTTGAGCATGCCCACACATGCACACTCAGCTTGCAACCCATGTTTCTTGGGGTGCTCAAAATGCATATCGCTAGTTCTGATCCACAATCAGTGGTGGGACGCTACAAATGAGGGAAAGCAAGCACTACCGTCTGCCATAAGGATTGATTGTGTTTGAACAAACCAGTCTACATGGTTCCCTTAACTTCCACTTAAAGCATCACCCAACCCAGGAAAACTCCATGGAAAGCAGTGCCGAAAACCAATTGACTTTGGGCCATAGTCAAAACCATGATGCGCCATGATGGGTTTGGACGCCCGCTCACCGCGCTGGTTTTTTCGCGCACCTCGCTGTGGAAGATGACTCGGCCGTCGTCCTTCGGGGCGACGAAGCGTACCGTCTTTTGGACTAAAATAAGACCCTTACAGCCACATTCCTTTTCAAGCTTGGACAGTTGGCAGGGGACAGAAGCGAGGCCAAAACCAATTTTCTGCCCTCGTGGCGTGGATTTTTTTTGCCGGGCAACCACATTCTGTTCCCGAGCACATCAGCAAGGTTCTTCCGTGCCGAGCCCTTGGGCTAACTTGCGCAGAGCAGCTTGCTCAGCGAAATTACTCAGCAAACTTGCACAGAGAAACTTGCTCGAAAAGCTTGCTCAGAGAACTTGCTCAGAGAAACTTGCTCAAAGACATCGCTCAGAGAACTTGGTCGGAGAGACTTGCTCAAAGAACTCGCTGAAAGAACCTTGCACAAAGAAACTTGCTCAAAAAACTTGCTCGCGGAAACTTCCTGAAAGAACTTGCTCAGAGAGAACTTGCTCAAAGAACTCGCTCAGAGAGAACTTGCTCAAAGAACTCACTCAAAGAACTTTGTCAGGAAAAACTTGCTCAAAGAACTCACTCAGAGAACAGAGAAACTTGCTCTGAGAACTTGCTCAGAGAACTCGCTCAAAGAACTCATTCAGAGAACAGGGAAACTTGCTCAGAGAACTTGCCCAGAGAACTCGCTCGGAGAACAAAGAAACTTGTGATTTACCAAAGGACCAAAGGTCTTTGAGCGAGTGAACTCTACCGTTGCATGTGCACAGACTGAGTTGCTTTCGCGGATGAGTCTTTGGAGTTGTCTCGTGGCTGCGAACGTGTTCTCAGGATCAGCAGCTCTCGGGTTCGATCCGCCCTTGTCCGGCAGGCTTTGCGGGCTAAGGTCAAACATCGCAGCTTTGTAGTGCAACGGTAGTGCACGCAAAGTGCGCTCAGCTCCAGCTCCAAACACACAACTTTGAGTATAACGGGAGCACGGCTCTTTGAGCAAGCCTCGCAGAAGCTGGCAGGGCAACTTGCACAGAGCAACTTGCGCAGAGCAATGCACGCAGAGGGACTTGCGCGGAGTGTAAGTGGCTCGCAGGGCATGTTCTGCGGGGTGTGGCTTGCATGCGAGTGTGCATGAACCATCCTGGTGGTGGGGGAGGGGGGGGCGCCGTGCTGAACGATTCCCACAAAACATTGGGAAACAATGCTGTTGGGCCGATCATCCTCTAGTAATTTTGCGATTTTGCAGAGACCCGTCTCATTAAGCAAATGGGCGGAGGCACGGTGAACAAACTTTTCTGTTAAGCCCGGACCCAGCTGCTTTCAGTGCGGGGGTCCATCATCGTTCAGGTGCGTGGGTGGCCAGCCCCATGAGAGTTGACAAGAGTAGCCAGGATTTGGGAAATCAATTTGAAGCCTATCGAGGCTTGAAAGAACCTAGGCGACAAGCTCCCGCGTCGTTGGAAAGAACTGGTTCTAGTTGGTCCCAGGTGTGGGCTTGAAAAATGCAATATGGTTCGACATGTGTGCCATGGTTCAACCCGTAAATGACTTGAGCCACGCCTTTTGCCTTTCTTCACCAGCCTTTTGGAGCTCAGGCATCCCCAACAATAACACAAACAGGGCGACAAACCAGAAAATTGAGCGTCACCTGAACAAAGAGATCCACTTCAAGGCCATTTGCACCACCCCTTCCAATGGAACAGGTGTCCTAGGCATCACTGGAACTCGCCGAAACCAGAAATGCTGCCATTCATGGCTAAGTTCAAGTGGCCAGTGGTGGCATTCTACATATCGCCGGGGGCGCCGCCTACAAACCATAAGACGTCTCGGGCCCCAATCGTTTTTTGGGCAGGGTACCGGTTGGGCCTTGGCCCTGATTAAAAGCTCCCGTTGATTGGCGGGCATGCGGCAAACAACAGATCATGAACAGGTGGCAAAATCAATCGTCAAAGAAGCTGGGGGCAATGGGATTTGCCTCGCAAGCTCGGGGCACGTTCAGCCCTTCGATGCTAAGGAGCTATGACGAGAATAGAATTGAGCGTCAGAAATCCTCCTTGACCGGCGAGGCCTTTCAAAGAGATCCCGGGCGACTGACTGGTTGTCCCAGCTCGAATTTTTGTTGGGGCCCCCTGTCGCTTGTTTCAAGGTTCCCTTCCTGGGGTGTTGAAGGTGTGACCTGGGAAAAGGGGTCCTTCGAGCATGGCGAATGCGTCCCCGAATTGAGCCCCGTCCTCGCCATGCTCATCCGTCGCATGGCCAAACTTTGGCGTGTCCGGATCCTCATGCGCGCAACAAGTCGAAACCCTGGCTTTTGTGTCTAAACATGCGGAATATTGGGTAGGCGCCCTGTCGTCCCCAAAACAGCAATACCCGACTGGAAAAGAGAAACATGGTTTCGTCTCAAAATATTTTCGTGAAAGCAACACTACTTCGAAGACGCCCACATGGCTTCTGATTGCAACCAAGCAGACACATCCCTTGAGGCTTCGCACGAAAAGCGCACAAAAAACACCCCCGACTTAATCTTCTGGGCCTTTCGTGAACGAGGAAGTGATGGCCTCAACAAAACCCTTTTCGACAAAAACCAAGAGATCTGAGACCAGTGCAGAAAATGGACAATTCAACCTTTATCAGAAGCTGCGACGCGGTGGGTCAGCAGTCATGGTCATGGGACTTGGCTTTCACCTCGCCTTTCAATCAAAGCCACTTGGAAGAAAGCATATCAACGCCTCCTACCTGAGTCTTTTCGCACTAATCCCAAAACCGTGTGAATCCTCTGTGACCAGAATCCCAACACCCTGTGAATCCTATGGTTGGGATGGAGTTGATGTCCTGTGCTAAGTGTGGCCGCATCTCCCGCCTTCTGGATGGCGTCCGCAAATGTTGGCGGGTCCTACGCTGCTTCTGGCTGGGGGCTAAAACGTCAAACCCACAAAGCATTGTCCCTTCAAAAGCTTGGTTTCCTTTTGGCGTCCCTTGAATACTATGGCTCATCAAAACCACATCAAGCTTAAGAGCGACACAGCAACGCCGCGTAGGGCAGCTCTGTTTGGCAGGCTGTATGACCTTATTCCAGCATCATCATGTTGGAGGACAGCAGGACGTATGACTCTTCCAAGCCCTGTTTCCGTTGACCTTCCAAAAGAGCTCAACTGCGGTCAAACGATTCCAGATCAATTCCAGATTTGGAGTTTCATAACTCCGGCCTTGGGGCCCTTCAACCTTGGGCCCATGACCCCGTCCCGCCTGCGTCTGCGGCGAGTGTTCGGAGCCCTGAAAGTTGCTGGGGCGAAACCCAGTTGCAACCAGCGGCGGTAGTGAAAGGGGACCTGAAATCAATCAGCATACCGCCGCTGCCTCGTGCATACCGCTTGCAAACCGCCTGCTACATTTCTCATCTGGGCTGATGCAAAAATGTTTCTTGCAAGAGGCAGTCATCGATCAATGTAAGAATGAGACGGTCCTGACCAAGAGCCGCAGGATCCCAATAATCTGATCTTCAAGACGGTGCTGACTTCCATGAGTTGCAAGGCATGCTGCTACAAGTCCGGCCGGTGTGACTCTATGACATGCAAATACAAGCGCCTGGCATAGCAAGTAACCAATCTCAGCCGCCCTCACTGAAGGACATCGTGTACCTACTAGAACACACTCATGCGACTGGCAGGTCACCTCACTGCCTGCAACGCCATGGCAACTCCAAAAAGGCCGATTTTATGGAAGAGCTCAACTTTGGAGTGGCCACTTGGGTCACTTGACTGAAGGCCAACCTGAGCGATGGACCGTCATAAGAGCTAATCACCTTGTCTGCTTAGTCATAGTGAGGGCATGCTTTCAAGAGTCGGGAGCAATGTCCCGAACCACAACAAATGGACTCACAGTAAAAGTTGCCCAACTTGAAGAAGCAGGGTACTTTACCCTTATAAACCTTAACCACGTTTGCCTTTGTGCGTCGCGGGCCATGGGCACTATCCAAGCACCTTGCGTCAATCCTCACATGTGCCTTCCAAAAAAGCGGGCCATGGCAGCTCAAAAAGAGGCCCCTTGCAAGGGGGTCCATTTCCAAGTAGAAAGCTGCGCTGGAGGAAAATCGCCGTGCCCAACCCCACATCGAAATTTCAGATAGCGCAACCTTTTGCAAAGTCCGAGAGAAGACTCCAGGCTCTCTTCACAAATGGAAGGCCGCGTCCCCTCGACGGCAACTCGAACTCCGGACTGGTCGCGCAGCGCCTGCGTCTTCTGCGCCAAGAGCTCCTAAAGCCGAAGCCCGCCCTTTGGCCACCCGGACTTGAGTGGAACACAGGCCCATTCTTTGCGATACTCAAGGGGCATTGCTTGGATCAAGGAGGGAACTTAGGGCCACAGGTGGGGACAAGGTTTATGATGCGGTTTATACCCCTCATGATTAAATAGAGGTGTAACAACGCTAAATTCACCTTAGTAAAGAAGTGTTTGTTCTCAAGGAAACTGAGCGTCTAAGGGTTTGCATTGGAGCGATGGTTTCTCTGACAAAAGGGTCGTTCCAGATCTGTTTCGCGGTTGCGTTTTTGCTCGGGAACCGTTCGGGTTCGCAGAAGGGTGCTCCCAGCTGCAACCGCTGGGCAGTGGCCGATCGAGATTCAGGCATCTCACTGCGGCCATCCGGAAGGCTCACGTGGCACTTGGCGAGTAAATGGAGGGCCACTACTCCCGGCACTGAGCTTCCGACTTCCACCAGCCGCTCGAGCCTTGGATTTTACCCGTGCCCCAGCTGTCCGAGGCTGAAAGTAGATGTCATAATTTTCCGTATGTGTCTACGCAAAGCGGATGGCTAGACTTTCACCCCAACCGAGCGGCATGCCGGGCCCACGACGCGTGTATCGTGCATCGAACGTCTTGCATGGTCCTTGACCATAAGCCAATGAAAGGAAGCCCAACAAGGCAAGGGGTGGTTCGAGGCATCCTAAAGAATTGTCAGCTCTGACAGCTCAACTTATCAACCCACCGGGTTGGTGGACTGCAGCCATCGTGAAACATAGGATTGCCCAAAACCGATCTGCAAAACCGATAGGGCGAAAGCCTGGCAGTATCAAACTCGTTGACCTAACTTGAGTCGACCTTGCACCGATGCGAACAAACGCCCATGCGTCGAGCTGCTGCAAAACTTGCTTCTCCAACCGCTTGATGGCGTCATTGTTATCCTCCACCGAGTCAGGTGGCCTGGCGAAAAAGACATATTTCTGTTGGGAGAGAAATTGTCTTTCTAAAAGGAAACCAACCAAAAAACACAAAAGGACACCTAGGGTATAAGTCCTAGCCCTGGCCTAAAAACCTTTCCGGGGCGAGCTCTAAGCGGAGGGATACTCCCATGACAAGCATGGAACCAAAAAGGGGGTCAGAACAAAAGGCAAACGTAAGCTTTTTTCCCGCACCTTCCACCCTCTATTTCCAAGCTCAGTACATCGTGATATCGGCCACGGAAGGTGGTTAGAAACCCCAAACCAGGTTTGAACCCCCCTCATGGAGTTGGCAGGTTGGGCCGAGAAGCCTAGAACACAAAGGGAGCAACACCCTGGCTATACGGTTGGTTAGGTGACCTCCGCTGAGAGTCTGGATTGAAAAGGTTTCTCGGGGTCCAGTTGTGAATCCATGGGATTGTAGGGAAACCAGAGGCGCTGGGGAAAGTCGCGTGCATCATTTTTGAGACTATCCTTTCCGGTCTGGCGAACAAGGGGAGAAGAAACAAGGAACCCCGGCATTTTGTTTTGTTGTCTTTTTTACCCCCTTGGAGACAAACTGACATGGAATTCAGGTGAGGCCCAGCGGCCACCTTTACTCGGGGTATTCGGGTATCCTGAGGAACACCCCGAGGAACCAGAAGCTCCAGTTGCCTGTGTCATCCTTGCACGGTCAGCACATTTATATGTTGCAAAGGATGCCTTCAGAGAATCATTCGCGTCCGAAATCCCGATCGGCACAAGGCTACATGTTAAATTCCCAAGGAAAACACATGGACCCAACGACCAAATGACCCAACGCCAATCATCTACCCTTGTAGTTTGATCATGTGGAGCTCTGGAGCATCCTCGTTTCAGGCCAGCCCCAATTTCGAACCGTGCCCAGCGGATCCCACTTACCTCCCACAGTAGGTAAAGCAGTTGTCATTTTTAGTTTTACAGGGTGGTTCCCTTTCTCAACTTAAAACGGGAAAATGGACCCTGGCTTTGACGCACAGCCATGACCCACATCCGGCCTGAGGCTGTCTGCCTGCGTCTCAGTGGAGAGAGTGGTGTGTTTGGTAGGATCAGTTTTACGAGGTCAAAGCAAGTTCCCCAACTGTACTTGTTTTTTTTCCGCCGAAATGAGCCGCATCAAGAAAGCCGCAGAGGCAAGGAACCGTCCCCAGGTCCAGGTGGATTCGCTAGCCGTGGGCTTTAACAGTAACCCTTACCAAGTGAGCTGACACCGAAACACGCCGAAAGCTGCTTGTGTGTTCACTAGAACTCTAACTACGGTGAAAAAGTGTTGTCAATCTATTGACACTTGTGATATGGAAAACAATACATCGCCTTGAGTAGAACAACCATTCATGAATGCAAATAAGTGGTGTCCCGCTTTCTCAAATTGTCCTACTTGAGAAAAACAGGTATCAGCAAAATAGGGTCGGGTGCCAAATGCTGGTGATCTTCGTGATGAAGCCCTCTCCCGTCTTCCAAACGACGTGGTGACAAACAAATGATCCTTCATGGCTTGTCGGCTGCGAAAGACAGCTCTTCTATCTCGCTCTCTCTCTCTCTCTCTTTCTCTCTCGCTTTCTCTCTCGCTCTTTCTCTCTCTCGCTCTTTCTCTCTCTCGCTCTTTCTCTCTCTCTCTCTCTCTCTCTCTCTCTCTTTCTCTCTCGCTAATTCTCTCTCTCTCTCTCTTTCTCTCTCGCTAATTCTCTCTCTCTCTCTCTCTCTTTCTCTCTCGCTAATTCTCTCTCTCTCTTTCTCTCTCGCTCTTTCTCTCTCGCTCTCTCTCTCTCTCTCTCTCTTTCTCTCTCGCTTTCACTCTCTCTCTCTCTCTCTCTCTTCTCTCTCGCTCTCGCTCTCTCTCGCTCTCGCTCTTTCTCTCTCTCTCTCTCTTTATCTCGCTCTCTTTCTCTCTCGCTCTTTCGCTTTCGCTCTCTCTCTCTCTCTCTCTCTCTCGCTTTTGCTCTCTCGTGCTCTCTCTCTCTCTCTCTCTCTATGTCTCCCTCTTGCTTTCTCTTTCTCGCTCTCTCACTCCTGCCTTGCCAATGGGAAGCTGAATGGGCACAGGGTTTGTGCCCAACTGGTCCACCATCATCTGCACATCCTGCGGCAAAAACATACAGAAATGAATAGCTGGTCTAGCCCCCGCTTTGCATACTTCGGTGCACACTGCCATTGCACATTGCTGCGAAAAGCATGCTACAACTGCTAGCTGGATTCGGAGCGGCTAATAAGTTGGCTATAAGTTGGGCATTCGGTGGGGGTATCGGCTCAGTCCCTGCAAATTTATGATTCCGCAATCTTGGTTTGTGGACAAATCAGATCTGATGTGCCTTCATGGCTTCTGCGGGTATGGCGCTTTTCTTCAGTATTGGTTTTTCAGTGTTCCAAGCCTGCAAAGCAAGTTAGGGGACGGGCCCTTACACCATGAAAAGGCGTCCAACAGTTCCAAGGAAAGTCCCGGAAGGATGGTGTTTCTGGATTCCTTCTGGTTGGTTCGTTCTGGTTTCCTTCCGGGTTCGATCAAGCACAGCTTGCAGCTAGGGAAAAGCCAACTGCATTCTTGGGTCACCCGATTGCTCGACTCACAGGGTTTCATGGTGGATTCTGTCCATCTGTACGGAAGGTTCCCTTGAAAGTTCTGTGTCGCTCCAAGTCAGAATCATAACCTGGGGTTCACCTACAGAACAAAAATCGAAGGGGGCAGCAACTTATTTCTCAGGATTGTTCCACGAACCTTCAATGATTCAATAGCTCTTCCAAGAATCAACGTGCGGAGAAGTGTGCAGGACCGGAAAGGCCGCCTGTTCGGGAAAAAGCTACCCCATGGGCTGCGGTGTTAACTTCCCCAAGAAGGGGAATTCATCTCTGGGTTAAAGTCTTCTTGGGAGTTTGCTCCCAAAACGGAACAGGTTTGATGAATTACCATGGTTTGGAATTGCTCATCCCCCCAACTTACCACTCTGCCAAACAAAAAAACATGGAACTGCACAGGGCCCTTTTCAAGAGCGCTGTCCAACAAATGAGGGCAACAAGTTTGTCTCAAAATAGGCGAGGTACTGTGCCTTTCTAGCAACCGCAAACAGGGTGGTGGAAGTACGATTTGGCGAAGTTTGTTCTTGGCTTCGTTGGTCAACCTCTTCAGCTTCAACTCACCTGCAATGGGGCCAGAAAAAAGTCACGCCGGTCCATTTGAGTCACAATCAAAACCCGGTATCAAAATGGTCTACCCAGAACCATGTAAAGAATTCAGAAGGCGGCCGCAGCTAATTCTGGTTGGGAGTATCCCTTACTAACCTTCATCTACCCGCACGCCTCGCCCCTGCGCACAAGCAGCACGCAGCATCAAGGGGTTGTCAGTGATTTTGCATGCTTCCTTGTTTGTTTAAGTAGAATCCTATCTTGAGTATGTTTGGTATGTGCTTTAGACTTTGGTTGTTTGATGTATCACCCCTGTTTGACGGCGGTCTTCGTTTGATGTTCCTCGAATTGTTACACAGGGAAACTGGGAACTCGTTGCATTCTTCTGATTTCCCATGAGCAATGGTGTTGATAGTGGAACAACTTGGGAGTGATCTGGAAACTGCTGAGCCCCTCTTAGGCAATGCGCCTTTGAACGCATGCAAGGCGTTCGTTTACGAAGCCTGCAATAGCAGAACTACCCGTCAATACCGGTCAAGCGCAGCCAGCCAAGCTCATCGAGCGTAGGGTTTCTGGTTGTCCTCCCCAGCTTTCCACTCTGCGCGAGCGAGCGCGTTCAGGTGCCCAGGGTGCCCGGTGCGGAGTCTTTTTTGGACGATGGCGTCCGAAGCCTGGAGGCGAGATCCTCTGGAAACAAACGGGAAATCGCCCTTTTTGTTTGGGGTTGGTAGAAACAGAAACGAGAAGGAAACCATGCTTTTGGACGTCCCTGAATGCGGTCGATCGCTTGTTGAGTATTGCCAATTCCTTGAAGGGGCCTCGAACGGAAAACGGAGGATTGATCGTCCAGAAAGGTGGGTGTCTTTTCTAGGCGGTACGCCTTTCTAAGGTTGTTCAAAAGGAGCATCAAACAGACACCACCCATTGCTTCTTTTTTGTGTGCGGGGTGGGCCTCATTTTGAGCCACGCCCAACTTAGACTTCCATGGTTCCCCTGGCTTCTTTGTCCCCCTAGCCTCTCGACCGACACGGCGCGCCCAAGTTCTGACAAAACATCTGCGCCTTCTGTTCTACCAACCCCAAAGAAAATGGGCGAGTTCCCTTTTGGAAAACGGGAATCCTGAAAACCACCCGCCGACCAGAGGATCTCGCCTCCAGGCTTCGGACGCCATCGTCCAAAAAAGACTCCGCACCGGGCACCCTGGGCACCCGAACGCGCTCGCTCGCGCAGAGTGGAAAGCTGGGGAGGACAACCAGAAACCCTACGCTCGATGAGCTTGGCTGGCTGCGCTTGACCGGTATTGACGGGTAGTTCTGCTATTGCAGGCTTCGTAAACGAACGCCTTGCCTGCGTTCAAAGGCGCTTTGCCTAAGAGGGGCTCAGCAGTTTCCAGATCACTTCCAATTTGTTCCACTATCAACACCATTGCTCATGGGAAATCAGAAGAATGCAACGAGTTCCCAGTTTCCCTGTTTAAATTTGGAGGAAAACCAAACGAAGACCGCCGTCGAACAGGGGTGATACATCAAGCAAACAAACAAACAAACAAACAAACAAACAAACAAACAAACAAACAAACAAACAAACACCAAACATTCTCAAGATAGGATTCTACTTAAACGAACAAGGAAGCATGCAGAATCACTGACAAACCCTTGATGCTGCGTGCTGCTTGTGCGCAGGGGCGAGGTGTGGATAAATGTTAATGACAGGATTGTTCACAGAATCTTGATTGCCAATTCCTTGCAACGGAACACGGAACATCGAACTTCCAGAAAGGCCGTGGTCTTGTTAAGGTTGCTCCAGAGGAACATCAAACAGGCACTACCCATTGCTTCTTGTTTTTTGGAGGGGTGCCTCCTTTGGAGCCACGCCCAACTTAGACTTCCATGGTTCCCCTGGCTTCGTTGTCCCCCTAGCCTCTCGACCGACACGGCGCGCCCAAGTTCTGACAAAACATCCACACCCGGCCTCGATCTCCAGCCCCTGGCGCACTTGATGGATCCCACTTGAGTACTAACTATAAACCCAACACCGCGCAAACTCCAAGGCGGCGGGTTTTGATTGCCCACTAGGGAAGCCAGCTCAATGCGACCCCCCCAAAACAAAATGGAGGAAAAATGTGGCCATGGGCTTTTAAGCAACAAAGATTGAACAGCTCTGGAAGGATTGCCAGCGTTTGCTCAAACCATGCCTGACGAATCCCCAGGCGGACACCCAAACCCCAACTGAACGGGCCACCGGAGCCTGGAGACATTCCTGCTCCCGTTCGGCCTGTCCGCAGAGGGCTCCGCGAGCGAAGTGAAAAAGGCAAAGCACGAGCTGCTTGAGGTCGCTGGCTGGCGGTCAAATTCTTGGATATGCAGTGTGGCCAGGAAGGCAAAAATCAAGCATCGTCAAGCATCTTCAAGCTGGCTGTGCAGCCCATGAGGCTGGTTTCCTCTCTCCCCTGCAAACATCACCCTAGTCCCAAGGAAAACTCACCTCTGGGTCAAAAGGGCGATGTTCAAAATCACAGGGGAAAAAGGAAAGTTAGGGAACCCCGGAAAAGGTGCCCCGATTTGAAAAGTTCCATTTACAGAAACGGGGATAAACGGTGCAACGCTTCGGTGTCGAACTTCGGCTCGCCTCCGCTTCTTTGGCAGCCAAGGCCTGCAAACCAAAACCAAGAGTCGAGCGTTCTTGGAGGTGACAAGCCAAACTCAAACATCTTCAAGCTGGATGGAGGTCACTCGGGTACAAACAATTGGATTTGCAGTAAGTGGCCTGAAAAGCAACAAAAGCAATCATCTCAACTCGGACACAAATTATCGAGCGAAAGTGGCCGAACGAGCAAGACTAAATTTAGATGTGTTACGCTGGCCCACGATTACTTCGGTACAACATCTTGGAAACAAGCAGCCTGAACACCAAATATCTCCAAGCTGGCTGGAACCACTCGGACCCAAATCATTGGATATACTGTAAGTGGCCAGAAAAGCAAAAAACAAACATCTGCAAGCCCAGGAGGTCACTCGGGCACAAGCAATTCCACGTAAGTGGCCCGAAAGGCGAAGTGAAAGCGGCCTAAGAGCAAGACTCGATATGTTCAGGCCGTAGCGGCATCCACGCCTTCTTGCGAGCCCTCTTGCTTTTGCCGTTCAACCTCCTCTTAGGAGCCTGAGTCATGCGCGGTCAGCCAACTCAAGTTTGCGGAGCCACAAAAACGGCGTCGGTGTCTTGGTAAAACAAAACGGAACCTGCAAAGAATAGAAACATACAAAGTGCACACAATGGCAGAACCAAGATTGCACCTCCCTCAAAGTGCGGAAGGCCTAAACAAGCTAACTGGGGTGGGGGGCCGCCGATTTTACCTCCCGCCACGTAATTTCAGCTTTTGGCGCACACTTTGTCCAAGCCTTGCCCCGCAGATCATTGGTTCTAGGACCCTCCCGCCCAGGATTCTGCCGAAACCTCTTGCCTGGCCCTTGCGCGCTTTTCTTTTGGGAATGGCCGAATCTTGTTTCCGGACTGCCCATTCCTGCGATTGTGAATATTTGTACAATCATAGAAGAAAAAAGCTGTGTCTGGCAGCCATGACTCAATGACGGCAAACAGATGCGAACAGCGTTCATTGTTCGCCTCCCCCTCAAGCATTGGGGCTGTCGCAACACCAGTGCCTGAACCCGTGGCTGGCACTTGCACCCATCCCTCAAACATTGCAACCAAAGCTTGGTCAAAGCGTCTCTTGACACCGCCAAGGCTGCTGGTTCCTGCTGTCTTCTACAGTTGTAAGGGGTAGCGGTTGTAAGGGAGCGGTTGTAAGCGCCTGGCTACCTACAATGCTCATCAAGTGCTCTTTGCAAATGACACTCCAAGAGGAGGTAAAAGCTGAAATTACGTGGCGGTGTTAGGCAATGCAAGGAATGCTTCCCTAACCAAAGGGAGGGGGGGGGTGAGGCCAGAAGCTGTTCGTTTGCTACCCCAACGACTCGAGCTTCCGCCCCAGAGTGACGCGCCTGGCAAGTTCCCGGAGGCTGGAACTCCAACGACCCGACGAGCTCCAGCGGAAGTTGGCGCAGTTCGCGCCGAGAGCGAGCCAGGCGCCCCCACATCCGAGCCCTGCGCAATCCCGCAGTCAAGTTGACAATGGGCGCGCCCGTGCTAGTCTCAATCAATGAGCACCCTCCCTCCCACACGTTGCCATGTCATTTTGTGGG